TTATTTATATTTAGGTTACAAAACTAAGGATTTATGAACTTGTACCACTACAAAACTTCTAATTTTCGTATTTATGTCTAATGACAGTTTTGATGTCAAATATAGGTACAGATTCATATCGTAGTTGGGAATATAGGAAAGATAGTATTATTTAACATAGATTATTTCAAGGTATGTGTACGTTACATGAGATTGTTCCACCAATGAGGTTCACTTTTTCTCCATAAAATGATTGTTATCTGCAAGAAACTATCATCAATTAAATTTGTTAGAAATTTCGCATGTCTCACGACTTATATTCTATAGTTCTTATTTGGATGAAAATTGTTATGACTGTTAGAAATGGTTGGATTTTGTTTTCTTCCATGTTTTTGAATGTTGATATGTATTAGTAAATCTCTGATTGTTGTGATATTTTGTGATGTAGTCCACATATATGTTGAGTTCATCGACACATAAATTATTGCAATTTCTTAGTTCATCATGGTTGTTATAAATATGATGTTGATTAATGTATATTGTTGTATTTGTGATGTATTGATAATATGTGTCACATATTGTGAATTACATTTACCGTGAATTGCATGGATTTTTTCTATTATGCATTTATAATAATTATTAGTCATCAAAACAAGTAATATTAACTTTTATTATATATTTTTCTTGTTGAGCAATCATTATTTTGGTTGTAGATTGGAGACAAAGTAGACTTACTTAATTCTAAAGTTTCAAAATGCATAGTGGCATAGAGCCTTATTATTAGTATGGATCAATCGACATAAATAGATGGAATTCCATTAGGATCAAATTTTTGGCAAGAATTTGTTGAAAATGCAAGAGATCCAAATGTGTGTTTGATAAGGTCTTGTCGAGGTATTCTTACAATTAGACAAGTTGTTCAGAGAAATATTGTGTGGCCTTCTGTTGATTTATATTCTAACTTATTTTAGTCATTTATTGTATACATGTATATGAATATCATTTCAGTATAGTAACAATAATTTTATGTTTTTTTCAAGTGTCACTGAAAGAGTAGATGGCTCGGGAAGAATGTTCAACTTTTTGCTTTAAATTCTTGTACTCATAGATCGTTTTGTTTTGCAAAAGTGCATATTTAACATTTTGTTTAACTCATGAGATTTTTTTTTATATATGAAAATATTGCTATGTTTTTGAAAATGTTAGTCATATTATTTTTGTGTTTATCTATATATTGAATTGTGTAATTGTACGGATGTGTACCTTTAAATTCATGTGATGAAATATGCTCAAAGTATATAACATTGGTTACTAACAGTCCATAATAATTTAAAAAAAAAAAAATTGTAGTGGCATCGTTGCCGTCATAAATATATTTCATTTAACATAAAGAAAATTTCAAATTTTTTGTGGCAGTATATTAACCGCCATAACAAATCCTTTAATTTTTTACAACAGCCAAATGTGGTATTTGAGGCAATATTTTTGCCGCCGTGATAAAAGTAAAAGTGTCAAATATTTTGTGACAACTTATTTACAACAGGGTCTTGCTGCCGTAAATAATATTTAAGACAGAATGTTACTGCCGTAAAAACCTTTTGAGACCACACTTATTATGACGAGGTAATGCTGCCAAAAAAATATTTATGACGGCAAATAGACTTTTCATAACAGCACTTTAATGCCGAAAAAATTATTTTTTCTTGTAGTGAAGAAAACATAGAAACAAAAATCATTAAAAGACAAATGAGGAGATGGCCCCAAACATTTGTGTAATCAATATCTAGGGGAGAATGAGTTAGATAATGAGACATAGTAAATGATATATGTGACATTTTTCCATGCAATAATTGTTTACAAATAGAAGGAATACAAGTAGAAACTGAATTTAACAAATGACACTAGACAGCATCTTTGATATTTTTTTCTTAGAAGGATATGGCCAAAACGATCATGCCACAAGATGTTAGATGGCTTGTTGCCCAAATTGGCTACTAGAGAAGGAGAATGATGGAGTGATCTGATAGGAAACAAGTCATTCTCATTGGAACCTTGGTAAAAGATCCTTCTTGTGGCTTTGTCATGGATGTGAAATTTGTTAGAATGAAATATAGAGACAATTGTTATCAAGGAATAACTGAAGGATTAAAAGAAAATTTAAAGTCATATCATGAACCCTAAGAACATTTTGAAATTTAAAGTTATGTGAATTTGTGTGCAAAACTACTTTCCTGTTAGAGAAATAGAAATTGGAAAGCATTACTTATAGAGAATTGGTCTTCTCCGGTGTATTCAGATGGGAATGCAGGAGATATCAAAACAAAAGTGATATGGTTTGAACCAAACGTTAGAAGTACTCTGTGGTTGATCAAATGTTGGCATATTCATTGGCTTGTTAAATACATCAAAGATTCTTGCCTTGATAGGCATAATTCATCTTGTGAGAACAATCAATAGGCAGAGTGCTTTCTCTTGTTGCAAATTTGGCACTTTATATGACCATAACTCTCTGAGAAAACAATGAAATTGTTTGATTTATGTTTGTGTATTGTTTGGTTATGAAGAATTTTCTGAAAGAACTGTTAATTATATCTAGGATAATTATCGTATCTTCCTTCTTTTCCCCCTCTGTGTCCAATATCCTCCCTGATTTCTTCCATATGCTTAAAAGCCTCATCTTCCCTTGAACTGAAGGTCTTATGTTGAATTGCATCCATTGCAATAGGATAATGTTGATTCAGATTTTGTCCTATAAAGGACGGATTCCTTAACTTAAACAAGAACATGAAGTTCTTCTAAAGAAAGTGGTTGAGATTTGATCCTCATAGAAAGGAAGTCTTAAAGGCATTGAATTGAGGCGGTAATCCGTTCAATGCATAAATGAGTATATTTTCATCATTGACAGACATTACTGAGTAGCTCTTAATTTATTTATTATTTTCTTTATTTTTTGAATGGAAACATCATCCATTGTAATATTAACTTTCAATTGCAGGATATTAGACGTAGAGATTGAGGAATGATGTGTTCTAGAAGTTTTTGTAGCCAATGATGTGTGAGAGAGCATTGGATGAAATAATGATACTGATAAGAGTCATTAGGTCTTGATCTTGTATTATCCAAACAATGTAATGAAGGATTGTAGGGAGGTCGATATCAATATGGTGCATTACATATCATGATTCTGGAATAATATTACTTATATTCTGGAATAATATTAAACATGCAAATATACTAAACAACACAAAAAAAATATATATATATGTATTTAATAACCAAACAGTAACACATAAGAACAAAACAGTAACACATAAAAACTGCAGTAAATAAAACTAACCCGAATGCAGATCAGAACCGCAACATGAAATTTTAAATCAAGACTAATATTTAACACTATCCTTAAGATAAATTTCACCCCCACACTAGTGCTAATGAAAATCTTGAAGTCTGCTTCCAAGGATGACCTTTACGCAAACAGATATAGCACTCTAATTTGTTTGCCCAGCAAATCAAATTATACAAGGACCATTCGTGTCTGCCAATTCATAAACATACACAAACTTCAAATTCAAATTGGAGGAAAATTTAAATCCAAACTAATAGGAATTTTGAATTTCAACAGGTAGAAATTAAAACTCAAGTTAAGCAATTAAGAATCCATTTAGCAAACAAATTTTCTTTAAAAATATAAAATTCGATATGAGCCACACTACCAAGCCGGACCTGGCCGGGTTGTGACGAATGATGCACATAGTGTAACTCTCCGTCCACAAAAGTGGGGTGCCCCTTGGGGTTTAATTCTTAGAGCAAATTTAGAGTATATATAGGCTCATCAAATCTTTGCCCAACCAATATGGTGTCAAATTCCACATTGCCCCAATTTCTATTTTCAACATTTCAAGATAATTACTTTAGAGTCTATTTTCTCATTCATCTCTTACTCGATTTAATCATGTAAATGTACAATATTATTCTCCTTATGAAATAAAACACACTCACAAAAAATTACTCAAAACGATGAGTAATTCCTATTTTAATTTAGACTCAAAGTCAACCAATAATCATTTGTATAGAAATTGTAAAAACAAAATCCGTTGTGTACTCGCATTAGATTCAAACAGAATTTTAGATCAGACAAAATTCAATCCAAAACTCACTCATTAACTGGCCAAGGAAGAAGTAATCAAGGTCTCTGTTGGGCTCTGAATGCCTAATCTTTCTTAATAATAAAAAACCAAAAATACTGTACATACGAAAATGTTTACCAAATTTTGCTTAACAATTAATATACATTGCTAGAATGGTGAATCTTACTAGAAAAAATTACTAAGACTGATTTAATCACCCACCTTTATGTATCAAATAAAATTTGGTCAAAGTTTTGGTAAGTGAAACATTACTCATCAAATACAAATACGACATAGCCCACTGAGAACCAGGAAATCTTTGAGATTGGAAACCTGCAATATAATCCTCCTACAAACAGACATTTATGTTCAACAACTCCAGCAAAACTCACTCAGATTTCAAATCTATAGTCTCCAGTCTTGTAGATTTGACAGATTCAAGTTGTATTTCTACCACAATTATCCCTGGTTTCTATTTCCAACATTATACAAGCAACTTCTCTCATAACATAGTTATTATCTATAACAAATAGAGTTATTAACAGGGTGAATGACACTTTGCCCATTGCAAGATTATATAACTTTCACTTTGTCCCTCAAAAGATTAAAAAACACACTTTCAATTTCTTCAAATGGTATCAATATGCCACCTTTTACCCCTTTTGTCACAAATTTGTGGCCCAAATCGGGACAAAAAAGGATGGGACTTTTAATCTTTAAAGGGAACAACAAAAATTTTAAAATCTTTCAAAGAACAATGTGCCAATAACCCTTATTTATTGTTTATATATGTAAAATTCCCAAGAAAACAAGCTATGTTTTGCAAATTACATCTACAACCACACCCAAGAAAGTACATTCCAGCAGAGGCAAAGGATGACCGACTGAGGAAGCTTATTCTTCATCTTCATTGTCGTAGTACTCTTCATCAGTACTGTCATCATAATAATAGTCAACGTCGTCATCACCTTCTTTTTCATATACGAGTCCTCTCATATTACCCGTTGCCATTATTTGTTCTTGAATTCGATCTCTAATGGCAGTTCCCTAATAAAAAAAAACCGTGTATATTAAGAGTTGAAAAGTAAATCACCAAGCAAACTACAACTGAAAGACTATATGTGTGTGTGTGTCCGCACGTGTGTTTGGGGGTGAAAGCTCAGCATTTCTCCTTCAGCACAAGCACGAGCATGTATGTCCACGAGCACACGTGTGTCCTGTCTGCACCCTCTGTGTGTGTATATGAGAGAGAGAGAGAGAGAGTGCTCACCATTTTATGGCAACCTTCTTCAAACATCTCAAGAAAACCAGCAACCAAACGATCTGCATTCTCCACCCAAATGTTACGATTCACACGGGCAGTTTGTGCTGCCGTTTGTATCTGCAATATCACATCCAAGAAACATGAGCAATAAACAATCTACAACCAATCAGGTGTGTAAATTAACTCGGTGTTTTGAAAAGCTCGCCTAGGTGAGAAGCAAAGCGAAGCGAGGGTCTGTTGCCTTAAGCACCCCAGGCGAAGCAAATGTGACTGAAGCGAGAAAAAAGCGAGTGTCTTGCACTTAAGCGAAATTCAAGAAAAGCGACGCTTTTGTAAAGTTTTTAAAGTTGCTTTATTCTTATTATAGACCGTTGAATTGGGGCAATTGGAATAAAATTGTGAGATGCCCATACACCTGATTGCCCCTTATCCCAATATATTTAACACCGAAACCCTACATTTGCCTAAACAAGACTGGAGCAGCTCCTGAAGAAATCTTGTCTCTTTCCCGAAGAAGTCCCGACTCCCGACAGGTTTGCTCCAACTCTTCTTTTTCTTCTTCATCTTTATTGTTGCTTCTGTCTTTTTTTTTTCTCCTTCTCCTCTTCTCTTATTCTTCTACTTTTTTTAATTCTTCTTCGACAGAAAACACAGCTCAGTACCTGTTTCTGCTTCTACGTCTTCTATGCTACTTTCTGTATTCTTCTTCAACAGAACCCAGGTATGTTATTTTCTCTCCTTTTTCTTTTGATTCTGCTTCTTCTCTCCTTCTTCTCCTCTTTTGCTACTAGTTCTGGTTCTGTTTTTTTTTCTTCTTTTTCTTCTTCTCTGCTTCTGCATCCTCTCTGTTGTTACTGGTTGTTTCTGCTTCTACTTCTTCTTCTATGCTTATGCTTCTAATTCTATTTTATTTTGGCTCTTCTTCTGTGGTTGTGTTTCTGTGTTTCTGTGCTACTGTTTTATTTTGGCTGAGATTCTTCTTCTCTGTTTATGTTGCTTCTGTGTATGCTAATTCTGTTTATCCTAAACTACTTATTCTATTTCTGTACTGCTTATCCTTATTCTTCTTGTAATTCTACTTATGTTTATGGCTTCTGCTGTTGTATCTCTATTTCTGATTCTGCTTATGTTTATGGCTTCTGCTGCTGCATCTCTGATTCTGATTCTGCTCATGTTTTTCTGATTCTCTGCTTCTCTAAAATATTTACTTGTTTTTTCACTGTTCGCTTCGCTTCTCGCTTCTACTAGGTTTTAGGAGCCTTGATCGCTTCGGTTCGCTTGACACCTTAAATAAAACTGAATTAACTAGTGTTATCTGTTACATAACATTCCTTCAACAAGGGAGTCTTTGGTCAAGGACTAATATCAAGCTATATGACTACCCATTCAAAGATAGACATATCGACCACACAAGGCATCCTATTGTAGGGCAACTTTTAATTATCAAAGATCAACAAACACATCCCCAAAAGCTTGCAAATAACACCTTCCCTCGAGTCAACTCAAGAAAGCTTTGTTCCATCGATGTTTGACATTCACTAAAATTGGACCGTCATGCACTAATTTGAAGATTTAGATTATTGCACACAAAAATATGCTGGCCCGCCACTTCCCACACCCTTTCACTTTGTTTTAGTTAAGTGAGAGCTTAAGGAGTAGCGAAGATTTAGCATCCTCCAGAATCATTTACCATCAACTGCTCTCCTTAACGGTGGCAAATAAATCACAAAGTCAAGTGAAGCAATGTGAGAGCAGTAGTAGATAGCAGCATTGAGCCACTAAAATGGCTCGATGATACCCTTAAATTGAGACCATACACTAAACCCTATGCTGATCATTACAGCCAAACGAGTTTTCATCAAATCAACACAGTCCATATTAGAAAGATCGGAAAGAAAAAAAAAAGAGAAGGAAACTAACTGGCTTCGAGGTGTCTGGATTAAAAAGCATCTCCTATGGCCTATTATTCAAATCTAGTGCAAGGTTGAGCAAATATGCATTAGGTCCAAATGTCAGTCATAGAAAAAAATTGGGTTTAGCCATAAAATATTGGAAAAAAAAATTGTAGCCATAAAAAGGGGATAGCATTAAACCCCTAGTGACAAAAGTAAATACGTTTTAGTCTAAGGTGATGTTTGATAAAATTGAAAACTAAGCACTAAAAGTTGTGTTAGAGTAGTCAAGTATACTTAGTATTAATGGGGTAGTTTAGTCATTTATTTATTGCATGCTACCCTACTATAAGGGCCTCAATTATATATCTTAGGTTTTGATGTTGCACTAGTTTCTTGTGTTGTAACCATATTTCCTCTACCTTTTTCTTCATTTCCCTTTCTTTCAACCAAGTTTACATGGTATCAAAGCACTATGCTATCCGAAAACATATTTAACATCACAGTTATTATTTTAGAGAACGAATTTGATCTTGGACTAACTCTGATGTCATCATCGTTACCATGACATCTTTGACCAGTTGAAGACACCACTCAACTAGATTTTTCATGGGCATTCTCATGGTGTGTTTTGTTTTTAATTTCATGTTTATTGGATAGGGTTATCTATGTTTCAAAAATATCGCACCAATTTTTCGATCATGAATTTTTTCTTGTTTTATTCAATTTCTTTGCTTCAAACCAAAGCCGAACGGGTGCAACTAGAGATTCTTGGTGCTTATATTGTGTGATTTGCGGGCAAGTGGTTGGACTTTTGCTGTTTTTTGTTTGTTCTAAGGGCTATGAATAGTATCGATGCTACTATTCATACTAACCAAAATTGATTATATTGCTTTCTTTTTGCTTTATTCTCGTCTAGGAAGCACGAATACTCCTCAAGGGGTCGACGTGGTGGTGTCGGACATGTGTCCGACATGGATACGCGTTGAACACTGCCGGACAAGTGTTCGATACTTCCACAAGTGTCCTGAACAGTGAGGAATGACGGATACGAGGTGATACGGAGGGATACGACACAACCATGGCTTTGGGAAAAAAAAAAAAAGTAGAGAAGAAGATGATGTACCTGATCAGCAACAGCCACAGAACTCCTCTTCAAGTAGGTATATCATCTTCATCTTCAAGTCTCTCTCTCTCTCCCGCCTGCATATCTACTTTCATTTGGCTTGCCCTAGTCGCTGAAAAGTGATAAAGGGCTGCCTTTTTCTTTTCATTTTTTTTTTGCTTGTCTTATTTACATTTCAACCCCCATTATTTCTTTTCTTTTTTCTTTGTCCTAATTGCTAAAATAATTTACAAATAACCATTGGACTTCTTATATTTTATGTTAAATTACAATTATACCTTATTAGTTGTCACCCACTACCCAATTTAGTTTAACCCACTATCTATAACATATTAACCTACTAATCAAATTTAATATTAGTTCATTTGTCCACTTATAAATATTAATTAATTACTCAATTTAATTATTAATGTTATTATATATATATATAAAAATATGTTATATTATTTTAATTAGTCGTATTATCACCGTACCCGTATCTTATATTTTGGAATTTTGTTATATCCCCGTATCCGTATCGTATCGGATATAACACCTGTGTCCGTATCCGTGCTTCCTAGATTCTCGTCTAAGAAGCCTCAATTGGTTGTGGATACTTGATTTGCAAGATTGTTAAATTAATTTGGGACAAAATTTGGGTTGTTTGGGAGGTTCGGTGATCTGTATATGTACACCGGTAACCTCTTTATGCCTCTTATCCCCATCACAAGCTATGATTCTACGTTGTTATTTCGCTAGTGTTGGGATTCTGCGTTGTTATTTCACTGGCAGACTTCTCTTCAGTGTGTATCATTAGTCTTTCTTCACTAGTGTTAGGATTCATTCCCTAGCTGCTGTTGTTGTATTCACTGCTCTCTGGCTTGTAGGTTTGATGGGCTCTTTCTAGGGTATTGGTTTGATACCCTTGTGATTGTGTTACCTGATTGCCAGGCTTTAGATTTTGTGTTTAGTTTTGGTTTATGTGATTTGATTCTTCTTGTACAATTTTCATTTGCTGAAATTATGGCAAGTAGAAACTCTAACTCTCGTCAGTCCATTAGTTTAAAATTGACTATAATTTTTGGTCAGTTACAGAAGATTGTTCAGTAGCCTCGTACTCTCTATCTCTCCTTTCGTAGGGTTGTTCACTTGGGATCCTTCAAGCATATTTCGAACCGTCTAGGTCTTTGACTCAAGTCTTATACATCACATGACCAGTGATTCTTTCTTATTTGCATTTACCTTGTCTTCTCTCTCTATATTTGTGCTTGAAGTCGATGGTACTCAAATGTCCCTGGCCGGTGTTGGGTCAATTATTTCTCCGCAGCTAACTTTTCCTGATATTTATTATATTCCACAACTTACTTTGAATTTAATTTCAATTAGNGTCAATTATTTCTCCGCAGCTAACTTTTCCTAATATTTATTATATTCCACAACTTACTTTTAATTTAATTTCAATTAGTCAACTATTTGACACTGGATTTTCAGTTCACTTTTCTTCTTATGGTTGTGTTGTGCAAGATCTATTTTTCAAGAAGCTAAATACGATAAGTAATAGAAAAATAGGATTGTATGTTTTGGACAAGTTACATGTTCCAAATATTGCTGTTTTTACTATTGATTTGTGTTCTTTTCATTTGAGTCTATAGTCTTCTAGTTTTTATTTGTGACATTCTTATTTTGGTCATATTTCTCAGTCTCGTTTGAAATATTTAGCCTCTAATGGTAGTTTGGATAACTTAAAAGTGTCATGACAATTCTAGATGTAATGGATCTAAGTTAGCTAAAATCAAATGACATTGTTTGACAATCTTCTTGCACTAACACACCTAACTAAATGAGATAGCAAATTACAAACATCGACATATTATGGAGACAAAACGTTCTCTCTTGTTGTTTGCAAGTGACCCAAGTTCTTCTTAATTGCATTCCCATTGTCATCACATCTGAAATCTCTCCCTTTGAAAAGTTATGTGATAAGCAACCTAATTATTTCTACTCACCAGTGTTTGGATGCACGTGTTTTGTCTTACTTCCTAGTGCTCTTCGTACTATACATTCTACATGTTCATGTTGAATGCATTTTCTGCTCATTCTTGATTATGGTGAAATTTAAAAAGGATATTGTTGTTATGATCATGTTGATTACAAACTCTGTCTCTTAGCATGTTGTTTTCATGGAGCATATTCCGTTATTTTATATTTGCATCTACTTCTTCAAATTTACATAAATATAATCACAATTATTATGACTAATTTTTTATTGATGTTCACTCTGACACTTATGTTACTGATATGATTGTCTCTAATTTGCCCTCTTTTGATTTGTCTATAACCGTCTCCCTATTATATATACTTATACTCGCAGAACCAATATTTTGAAAAGAGTGCCAAGGTGAGAGACGAAACGAGGTTGCCTGGAATAGCCTAGGCAGAGTGACCTTTAGAGAAGCAAGGAAAAAACGAGCCTATGAAACGAAGCGAACTCCTAACTTAAATTTTAATTTTTTGTCCTCTTCTCTTCTTTTTGTTCTTTTGATCCTTCCCCATCTTGTGACACTCAC